ACCAATGGTCTATCTAGCCCAGGATCGTCTTCCCACAGCGAATGGTACCAGATGCTTCAGAGGGAATGAACAGAACAGGACATTTTATTATAGAGTGATCCATCCACTGTCATTCAGTCACAGCTTTTGGCATTCACAGATTTAGGGACACCCAGATCATGTGGTTTATCCCTGACGATCTTGGCTAATAGCCACTGATGGACCTATCCTCCATGAACTTATCTCATTCTTTTTTGAACTCAGTTGTACTTTTATATATCAGGAGACACTGGTTGACTGGTTCCATGCCAGTGTTCTGGAATTTGGTGACACCTTCTGGTTCATCTTCTGAAAAGATATCAGGGACTAACATTGGACAAGGGTCCCTCTGAAGTGGAGGTGCAGACTGATCCAGATGAGTTCGATCCAATGCGTAAAGTTTACCCTGTTCCCTCTGAGGAGAGGGGATCTTTGTAAAGATGGGACTGGCCAGCATCCTTTTAATAGCTAGGCAAAGGCCAGTAAGGTCTGTGACGAGTTTGGTCACAGAAACTCCCTCAAGACTGTCACTAGATGTGCTGGGATACCACTGCGAACAAACCCCCCTGCCAGAGAAGTCTTCCCTCCACTCCCATCTTGTGGATCTAGACACACCAGTCAGCTACAGCACATGACCAAGAGGTCATGCCCCCCTGCAGTTCACAGAAACTAAGATTCACTTAGCCCAGGGGCTTCTCAGTTAACAGGGACTTTCCCAACACCCAGTATTCAGTCTTTCTGGTAGACTAAACCCCAATTGAATCCGTTTTGCTCTGTATAAAGCTTATACAGGGTAAACTCAAATTGTCCACCCTCTCGAACACAGAGAGATATGCACAGCTGTTTACTACCTGGGGGAGTAATTACTAACTCTGGGTTAATTAATAAACAGAACTGATTTTATTAAGTATAAAAAGTAGGATTTAAGTGGTTTCAAGTAATGACAGACAGAACAAAGTAAGTTACCAAGCAAAATAAAACAACACACACAAGTCTAAGCCTAATACATTTAAGAAACTGAATACAGGTGTAAATCATCCTCAGAGATGTTCCAATAAGCTTCTTTCACAGACTAGACTCCTTCTTAGTCTGGGCCCAATCCTTTCCCCAGTACAGTTTTTGTTAGTTCCAGCTTAGGTGGTAACTAGGGGATTTCTCATGATTGATGCCCCTTTGTTCTGTTCTACCCGCTTTATAGCTTTGGCCCAAGGCGGGAATCCTTTGTCTCTCTGGGTTCCCACCCCTCCTTCTAAATGGAAAAGCACCAGGTTTAAGATGGGTTCCAGTATCAGGTGACATGGTCACATGTCACTAAGACCTCATTCTTCATTACCCACAGGCTGGCCCCCATATCCACAAGAAGGCTTGCAGGTAAATAAATCATCTACAGCCAATTGTCCTAGTCAATGGGAGCCATCAAGATTCTAAACCACCATTAATGGCCCACACTTTGCATAATTACAATAGGACCTCAAAGTTAACTTCATATTTCTAGGATTAAATACAAGAATGATACATACAGACAAATAGGATGAACACACTCAGTAGATTGTAAGTTTTGTAATGATACCTTACAAGAGACCTTTTGCATAAAGCATATTCCAGTTACATTATATTCACATTCCAAGCATACTTGCATAAAGCATGTGGAGTGCAATGTCACAAGGTCATCTAACCCAAGGTGGTATATTCCATTCTTGCCAGTATTCAGCGTCGGATTCTCCATCCTATACTCCTAGGGGAATTATGCACCACTATGCATGTGCAGAATTCATGTCCACCACAGATTTCTTTGCTGACAGGAAAGCAAAGGGAAGCTGCAAGAGAAGTTACGCAACGCTCCCTAGCTGTGCAGGTACATCGTTTTAGGCACCCAGAGCAGCCGGCGGACCAGTAAATCACCACAGGGCTGTGGACACCCCAGCCAGTGGCTCCTACCCTGAGCCGGAATCAGCTGCTAGTTCTGGCTGGGCTGGAGGCAGGGGAGGACAGGATTTCCTCTTCCTCTGCACAGAGTGGCTGAGGCTGTGTCAGACCCACCCCCAGAGACCTTCCCCAGCTGCAGAAAGCTCAGCATCCTTCCTTGCTTCCTGCCCCCATCGCTCCTCAGCTGAAGGGGGGGGCAGGGGGCACTGAATAGGGAGTTGCTCTCCCATCCGCCCAATCCCTGTGCATCTGGACCTACCATACCCAGACACCTCTGCCAATCCTCACCCTGTACATCCAGAACCTCCCGAGCCCTCCATACTGGACCCCCACCCCATTGAACCTCAACCCCTGCATCTGGAGCCCCCTGCCCCCAGACCTCCTGCCTCCAGACCACCCCACACTGAGCTCCCTGCACTCAAACCCCCACCCTGATGAGCCCCACCCCCATTAGCCCCCACATCCAGACCCCCATGCCACTGACCCCCAACTAGCTGCACCCAGACTCCCACTGCCCCAGCACCCAGACCCCTCCACTGAGCCCCAACTGCTTTCACCTGGAAGCCCCTGCAGAGTCCCATTGCCCCTGCATCTGGACCCCCCCCCATGAGCCTCTGTGCATCCAGATCCCCCCACACACCTAAACCCCCCACTGAGCTTCCTGCCCCCAGACTGTCCCATATAGAATCCTCTCACCCACACCTGGATCCCCCCCACACTGAGGCCGTCCACACTTAGATCCTGCCTGGTTGAGCTTGCCTGCCCCACACATGGTGCACCAAACGTAGAGGAGCAAGGCCCCAGGGTGTTTCTGGGGTAGTCCCAGGCCTTGTGCTATGTCATGGTTGGGTGCAACCTCACCACTGAGTCTGTGTCCTGGGGGTGGGGAGGCTGCAGGGTGATCTCCCACCTTTGTACAACCAGTGGCCTGTGCTCCCCACTGCCATGCTGGACCCTCTGCATTTATTTATTGACAAATTAAAATTCTGCACAATTTTGCAAGGTTTTAAAATATTGAGCGCAGAATTTTTAGTTTTTTGGCACAAAATGCCCTCATGAGTAATCCTAATATCCCTGTTGGATAAGGGTATTCTGTTTGTCTAAATTATCTGTATGTTGTGTCAGTTTAATGTCTTCTAGTGTATCTGAGCCACTCCACAGGAGAAAAAAAGGCGGCAAGTTAACAGGTCTGTACTGGCCCGAGTCTTCAGACTGTGGATCCCAATGCAGATGAGAGAGAATTCAAACTTGAGAGAGTATTAGTCTTGGTAAGTATAGTACAGAAAATGGCGAGGCAAGCTTCCCTAGGGACCCTGTAGATGTCCTGAGGAATGTAGCAACACTTCAGGGGAAACCTGTAACTTGGAGGAGGGATTTCTACTTTTTTTCCCAGTGGGGAAGATGCAGGAGGGATACCCAACATATATAATATATATTTTAGATTCCCTTGCCTTTCTGCCCAGAGGATCCCTGAACCGGGGTGGCCTTTGGCTCAAAGTATGGTTCTCACTGCAGAGTATGGTTCTGGAACTGATTTATGAACTTATCTGCTTCCATTACTGCAGCGGTGGCCCAACATTGAGGTTTCTGAAGTTGTGTCTGGAGCCTTTTTGGCCATTATTTTGGGGGGTGGGGTTGGGGGGAGGAGAGGAGAAATAGATATGCTTGTTACATTGGGGTATGACCTTTCTTTCCAGATTTATTGTCACTGGGATCCTTTATTTTTGGTTTGGGCTCCGAAGGTCTTGGAATTGAGGCCATGGGATCTGAGGGGGCCCTGGTGTACAGACTGGTCTGCTAACAGAAGCCAACGGGTGCACCATTTCTTTTGCTCAGAACAGAAGGTGCTGGATCCCAGCGATTGCATTCCTAAAGCTTGGTTCTCCCATCAAAGGTCAACACTTGCAGGAACCCATCTTGCTGAACGGTTAGATCTGATGGCTGCAGATCCTTTGGTACGGTGATGCTAGATTTTACCCCAGTAATGGGGGTCGGTAATTGGGACAGGATTGTATACTCTTTTGAATCCTTGAAGGAGCTGGGGCTGAAGCAGGCCTATCTGTATTCATGGATTCTAAAAATCTGGAACCAGAAGACTTAGCCATTAAGGCTTCCTGGAGAAGTAATTCCAGAATATTTGGAGCTGGTTTTCACATACCTTATGAGTTCTAAGTGTGAAGGTGTGCCATATGGCACAGCAAGATGGAGAATACCTTCTCCGATCTAAGTCAAATACCTTGCATGGGTGTATGAAGCTGGTAACACAGCAGGAGAAGAGACACACCTCTTAAATCTTAGTCTTTTCTCTTTTGGATCTGTGGATTTATGCTGAGGCACAGGAATAGACTAAAATGAATTTAAAAAACTCTACTTCTTTAGAAGAACTTTTATTTAAATGGTTAATTCTACATTAACAGAGCTAGTCAAGGAATGAGTTTTGAGTCGATGATTCCCAGTCGGAATGACTTGGTGAGGTTCATGGTCTGGCTGCAACTGTGCTTGAAAGGAACTGAGGAGGCTGGAATGCCAGACCACCTTTTAGAACCTCACCCTCACAATATTCGGGAACAGTGAGTAGAGGGGTGGGCTCTAAGGCTTTCCAACAGGCACTGCTACAAGAAGGTTCCACATTAGAGCTGCACTGATGGCACATCTCTTAAGTATGAACAGGCAGAGGCCATTTGAAAGTAAGATTATTTCTAGTCCCCAGGTATCTGTTCTAATTTAATTAAAGTGAAGATGTGACAAATCCAGAATAATACAATTTTTAGAAATCTGGGTGAATAAGCAAACTTTTTAAAATAAAGAATGACTAGCATACTACTAAGATAGTTATCAGGTCAGTGCTCTGCACTGTCATGAAGAATCTCAGGTTAGGTTGCTATACTTGGTCTCTCCTGAGGCAGTGTACCAATGCTGAACCAAAAAACACCTACTCATATGATATGATAAAATAAAAGCAGTACACTAGTGAATTCCCAATTACTTATGCTTCTCCCATCACATTCTACTCTTCTTTGCTTAAAAGCTTAAAATACAATTTCAATTTTCATTACCTTTCTAAGTTCATTACTTCATTTGCAATCTCAGTTCCTATGCTTCCAGCACCAAGTATTGTTCCAGAGGACATCCCAGGCACACTGGGAAAAGACTGCTTTGAAGTATCTACAATTACAAAATGAAAACTAAGTTCATTAAATGTTAAAATATTTTCACTATACAGCAGGAAACAATTAACCCATCTCTTCTCAACCTTTAACCTCTTATTTACCTAAAACAGATTCCTTACTCGTGTTACTAACAACTTAGAGAGAATTTTATAAATCTAATTGATTTTCATTGTTCACTTATCTTCGCATTTTACTAAGCTTCACCAATGAAACTATTGCATTTCATTTACAATCAGGGTGGACCACTTAAATCATGATTTAAATTGGCAATCATTTTGCATTTGTATTTTTTAGTTATTTTCCTAAAGAAAGGTTAATTCTCATTAATTAATAACCATTAAAACACATTGATGTGAAATAAAATATAGCATTTACACTAACTTTGGTGCTTCTTTTTTGGTAACCAAGAAGATACAATGTATCTACACAAGATTATTTAATCTATTATAGTTTAATTTACATCTATTCAGATTCTTAATTTTTACACCTTTTATTTATGTTAGAAAATAGTGAACAATGCACTTATTACATGTTGATTTTTTACTTGTAATTTGTGTCAAGCTCTGTGTGATGAAAATTAAAATTAAATTAATTTTTTTTATTAGCTAAATGTGCTGGATACCTAAGAAAAAAGTTTTACAATGTTTATCAGAATGTGTTTTGCATCTAAAACTGACTGATTTATTAAACAAAGGAAGTAGTATCTGTAGTTAGTGAATTGAACACATTGTTTCTGGTCACCATGTTCTTCAAGACTGCCATTTAACTGAACTGGTTAAATAAACTGAAATGAAAATATTCTCTTTGCACTTGCACAAGACTCTCAAAAATGGCCATACTGGGTCAGTACAATGGTATATCTAGCCTAGTATCCTGTCTGACAGCAACTAATACCAGATGCTTCAGAGGGAATGAACAAAACAGGGCAATTATTGAGTGATCCATCCCCTGTCATCCAGTCCCAGCTACTGGCTGTCAGAGGCTACAGACACCCAGAACATGGGGTTGCATCCCTGACCATCTTGGCTAACAGCGACTGATTGACCTATCCTCCATGAACTTATCTAATTCCTTTTTTAATCCAGTTATACTTTTGGAAACAAGTTCCAAAAGGTTGACTGTGCATTGGTGAGAAAATACTTCTGTTTGTTTTAAACCTGCTGCCTAACAATTTAATTGGGTGATCCCTGGTTCTTGTATTATGTGAAGGAGTAAATACCGCTTGCTTATTCACTTTCTCCACACCACTCATGATTTTACAGACCATCATATCCCCCCTTATTCATCTCTTTTCCAAGCTGAAAAGTCCTAGTCTTTTTAATACCTCCACATGTTCCATACCTTTAATCATTTTTGTTGTCCTTCTCTATACCCTTTCCAATTCTAATACATCTTTTTGAGATGGGGCGACCAGAACTGCACACAGTATTCAAGGTGTGGGCATACCATGGATTTATACAGTGACCATACCTGGTCTCTGAGGGCCACAACCCCCAGCACTGAATGCACACATATGCCACCCGTCCACAAGGCAGGTAATCATACATGTTGCATTCAGTACAACAAACAGGATAGCCCCCCACTCTGCTGCTGGACTTCTGCCTGAATTCTTTTTACTCCTGCAGCTTTTTTTTGTTTTTGTTTCCTACTTCTGTCAAAAGCTGACTTAGCATTTCAGCAAACGCTGGTTCCAGGTGCATTGCCAATGACTTCCACCAGTTCAGTGGTTTTACTTTTTTTAAAACTTTGGCAGCAAATATGTACTGCTTAATTTTTTAAAATTTACATTATCTTCATAAATTATAGTAAATTTAGGCCTTAAACATAAATGGTCATAATTTAAAATTTAATTTTAAATGTTTTTTTAAAAGGCTACATTTAAATAAAAAACTGATTTTAATGTGATTTTTAAAGCACTGATTTTTATCCATCCTGATTATCATCAATTTCACGTTTTTCTACACATGTACTGTGCTGCAGTTTACCAAACTGCAAAGGAATGTTTAAAAATTGTCGTTTCTTTTAAAGTCACCTTTTATAAACCTTGCAGGTTCTGTAACTCTAACCCTCCTTTTTCTTGAAAAAACACAAACATTTAAATATAAATACTCATACTGTCTGTGCTGTGTTTCCTATCAAGAGTGCCAATAGCGTAAGATTGTTTTTTTCGTTTTACTTTAAAAAAAATTTTTTTTTAATTATCTGCGTACAAAGCCCAGCTAAAAGAGGATGAGTGAAAAAGAAAAGGTCTGTGGCTAGATGACATAGCAAGTAAGGAAGCAGGTAGACAACTGATTCTATTTACAGCATATAAACACCGAGATAAATCTGTCAGTACCATCCTACATTCATAATTGGGTACGCGTAAACATCCCAACATTATAATACCAACTAATATTAAACAAATATTATCATGATTAAACTCAGAATGAACCCTTCATCTTTTCTTTTGAACTTGCTCTGTGTTAGCAGTGTATCATTCTGCCTAGCTGAATACACAAGTTTAGGAGAAGGTGAATAAGGGAGACCAGGCAAATAATCATGATACCTTGGATCACAAAGGGACGCAGTGAGCTACAGGAGCTAAAGATGCTATGTTTAAGTATAGAGCTTTGTATTGGCTTTGAGAAAGCTTATTTTCCTCATACAACCCACTTGGATCAGATGGTCACAGGACCCAGATTATTCCAATACTATATACTAATCGCTTATGGAATGATCTTGTAAGAAATGTACACACTATGACGATAACATTTTGTGACCTAAAAACTGTACTTGCCTTCTGAGGACTGGGAACTACAGGGTAGTAATGCTTCGTCTCCCGACTCATTGTGACTCCTTAGAATTTAAGGGCATAGAAAAAAAATCAGTAAAATTTAAAACACAATACATAGTATACTTGGTATTTGAATGAAAGCAGTACATGAAACCGAGTAAAACATGTCACAATTCTGGGCACATGACAAAGTTATATATGTTTGATCCTTTTTCACCAGAAAAACTGAATTCCTACTGCTAAATAGGAATGCTCTGTGTGTTATTGCTTTGTGCCAGGACAATCCCACTTTCTGTGGCATCAGGTGAAAGATTTAGCTCCACTTATTCGCCAGTTTTGTTTAGGTTATATTTTACAACCAGTGAAGGAAGCTAGAGCAACAGAAAACACAAAGAATTAGACCATACTCCTCTATCATGAGGCAGTGAGGAATGCACTTTGTCTAAAACCTGCCCAGGAACATAACTCACCAGGATGGGTAATCCTAATGTGCAAGGGGACCCATGTTTGACCTGCAGATTGGTGAAGAACAGCTGCTTAGGCTTGTGTCTGAGGAAAGTCACATAAATGCCTCCAAGCACCTCAGGATGAATCTGTGCTCCCTTCTTCCCAGCTTAAGGAGTAGTAAATTCCATGCAAACTTCTGCCAGGAAGGGCAGAGAACCAAGGTTCTTTTCTTGTGTCTCTATGGAAAAGCTACCTCTATATTCTCCAGGGTGTGTTTTGTGGTTGTGTATGTACCTCTCTCATTCTCAGCCCCAGTTACCAAGGGAGTCAGGATAGTACACCAAAACAGGCCCCATCTGAACTTTCTGGCTGAAAAAAGTGTCTTGGGGCACATATCCACTCTGCTAGACGGATAGCTATAGAGGAACTTCACCCAACCTGCTGTTGAGACATCAGAGAATTACTACCTCTCCTGATATATATGGTTTGTCAGGCACTGGGGATTGGCAACAGGTGGGTTGGACAGTCATCTTTCTTGGAGGAGGACTATGTTCCCTTTGACATTCAGTAGGTGTCCGTGGCTGGAGAACCCAGTAGTCATGAAGCTGTTACGGTGTCCATACCACTAACAGATGAAGTGCAATTACTGGTCCTACTTTTATGTATCTTTTTACCTGTTGAACTTTGCCAAATTGTTACAGAGGGAGCAACTGTGTATCATTCCCTACAGTACCATGAGACCTTAAGATAAGAATACAAACTAATTCACAGAAACTGAACAAACTCTTTGGGGTGGGAAAAAGAGTTTCAGCTAGCTGGATTTAGCACTGCATAATTTTACACTAATGGAGAAATGATTGAACAGATCAAGTAAAAAGTAAATATAACCATGATCTTCTATCAAACGCCCACATGGAAGCAAACAGAGTAACGGTTGCAAAATGTTTTGTTTCAATTTTAACATTGCCATATCTTTCTAAAAGGGGCTCTCTCACACAGTTATGAGTGTGAAAATGCAATTTGAAAATTGTAAATAGGTCACAGAGTAGATAGTGTCAACTAAGGCAGAGTGTTTGGTCATCTCTGCATTTTTTTCCCCCCAAGAAGTGTGCCCTTAGCAATGTAGGTGTATGGTAATAGCTACTGAGTGGTGCCTCTTACCTAAGCCAATCTGCATGTGCTGATCAAGTGCATAAGAATGAAACAGGTAAAGGGATAGATTTTAAAGTGGGAGGGAGCAACTTAATAAAGCTTTAACTTTAATACCAGACGTTTACGCAGGTCCAACATGGTGCCTCCTGCTAAATAAGTTTTCAGGTTTGGCCCCCTACAGCCTCCCTAACCCTTAGGATTCAGCCCATTTCTGAATTCTCTTACCCTTCCATTCTGAGGGAGAATATGGGTACACATGAAGGATACCTCAGTCAACAAAGATTTAAGGTTGGGTCGCACATGCGCAGTCCCTGTCTCACGCCGCCTCAGGCAGTTAACTGGTGCTATGCGACCAACCGCCCCTCTGTGCCTTCTCTACTGGAGAGATCAAGTATTAATGTCCGAAGTAGAGGGGAGGAAGGGAAGGAGGGAGGATAGTGGAGCACCCTCGGGGACACATCTCAAAGTACCTACGTTACGGCACACGGTGAGTAACTTTCTCCTCTTCTTCGAGTGCTGTCCCTGTGGGTGCTCCATTTTAGGTGACTTCAGAGCAGTGCCCTCCGGAGGAAGGAGGGGGCTTTGGAGTTGAAGGAGTAAGAAAAGACAGTACACTGAGCCCAAAGAACGCACTGAATGTTGCCTGTTGTTGTAATGCGTAATGCTACGTAAAGGCATGGACTGAGGCCCAGGTTGTAGCCCTACAGATGTCCATGATGGGCACTTCGTTAAGGAAAGGAACAGAGGTCGAGAGGGCTCTGGTGGAATGTGCGCGAATCCCTTTAGGGGGTTGCCGGTCACATTGATGGTAGCATAGTTTTATACAATCAGAACCACTTGGAGAGCCTCTGTTTGGATATGCCACTCCCCTTGGAGCGTTCAGTAATGGAAATGAATAGTCTGGGTGATTTACGAAATGGTCTTCTTTTGTCTATTTAAAAGGCCAATGCCCTCCACACATTAAGAGTATGAAGTGTTGTGTGTTTTCTATCCTCATGAAGTTTAGGGTAGAATGTCGGCAGGTAAATGGGCTGATTAAGGTGGAAGACAGACGATTTTAGATAAAAACTTGGGGTGTGGTCTCAGGAATACTTTATCTTTAAAAAGAGACAGTGTATGGGGGTCTGTCATGAGAGCACTCAACTCTCCTACATGTCTGGCAGATGTAATGGCCACTAGAAACGCCACCTTCATGGAAAGGTGTAGGAGTGAGCATGTAGCCATGGGTTCAAATGGGGAACCAGCGAGGGCCCAAAGGACTAGGTTGAGGTCTCATGGTGTAGTAGGATCACATAGCTCTGGATAGACGTTGGTGAGGCCTTTGAGGAAACTTTTGGTGAGAGGGTGAGCAAAGACAGAATTGATCCACCTTGTGGTGAAAAACTGTAATAGTGGAGAGGTAAACTCGTACTGAAACTCATGGAGAGACCTGACCTTTTAAGTTCTAAGAGGTAATCTAATATTGAGGGTAAGGAGGCTGAAAAGGATGATATCTATTTTTGCTGGCACCAAGCATCGAATCTCTGCCACTTGAGTATGTATGTGTGGTGGGTAGTTGCTCTGCGACTATTCAATAATATGTTTTGTACATCTTCCGAGCAGATCATCTCAGATCCCTTGAGCCATGGAGGAGCCACGCTCTGATATGGAGTCTTTGTGGATCCAAATGCAGGGTGAAACCCGAGTTCTGGGACAGCAGATGAGGCAGAAGCAGGAGCATGATTGGTGGACGCACTGCCATCCTGAGAAGGTAAGGATACCAGGTTTATTAGGACCATGCAGGGGTATTAGAATTACTTTCACTTTGTCCTGCCTGATCTTGTGGAGCACGTGGTTCAGGAGGGGGATGGGAGGGAAGGCTCCCAGACCTGCCCTGGAGCAAAAATGGAGGCATTTGGTATTTTGTGCAGTTGCAAAGAGATCTATCGGTGGGAATCCCCACTGTTGAAATATGCATTGGAGTAAGCGGTTGCCTAGCTCCCACTTGTGGCCCTGAGAAAAGTGCCTGCTTAGGATATCTCCTGTGGTGCTCTGGCATTTAGAAGGTATGAGGCAGAGATGTGGATACTGTGCCTGATGCACCATTGCCAGAGTTTCATGGCTTCCATGCATAGGGAGTGTGATCATGCTCCCCCTTTTCTGTTTATGTAACATATACAAGCTATGTTGTCCGTAAGGATCTGAATGGCCTTGACTTTGATAATTGGTAGGAAGTGGGAGTAGGCTTTGCGGATGGCTCGTAGTTTTAACAAATTTATATGGAGAAGGGATTCTGCAGGGGACCAGTGACACGGGACAGAATGTGGATGCAGGTGTGTCCCCCATCCGAGGAGCGAAGCATCTGTGGTGATGATTAATGTTGGCATGTTCTGAAGGAAGGGCACCCCCATGCAGACGTTGTCTGGGCGTGTCCACCAGAGTAGAGAGTCTTATTTTGTCCGGCATCATGAGGCATTTGTTTAAGCTGTGTTTGTGTGGGACATAATATATACGGAACCATCCTTGGAGGCAATGCACGTGTAATCTCACATGACTGATGACAAAAGTTGTGGCAGCCATGTGACCGAGAAGTTGTAGTAGGCATGTCCTGACAGATACCTAGGGACTGCTTCGTGTCGTGGCTATGAGATTGGTTAGAGCAAGGAAATGTTGTTGAGGTAGGGAGGCTATGGCCTTGGGAGAACTGAGATGGGCCCCAATGAACTCAAACTCTTGCACTGGCATTAGAATGGACTTTGTGCATTTATTTGGTGGCCTAATCTCATGAAAAGGGTCTCCGTCTGTTTGGTGGCTTCTAACGTCACTTGCCATGTTGGTGCTTTCAGCAGGCAGTTGTCCAAGTATGGGAATATCATGATTCCGTTTCTCTGGAGCTAGGCTACAACCACTGCTAGTACTTTAAAAAAAAACCCGATGGACAGTGTATAGTCCGAAAGGAAGAACCTTGTATTGGAAATGTTCCTGACCAATAGTAAATTGGAGAAACCTCCAATGGGAAGGATGGACTGTTATATGAAAATACGCATCCTGGAGGTCAAGGGCCAAGAACCAATCCCCTCTTTCTAGTGCTGGGATTATGGCGCCTAGTGTGATCATCTTGAATCGTTGTGTCTTGACGAATTTGTTGAGTTGGTGTAGGTTGAGTACTGGTCTCCATCCGCCCGACTACTTCTTCGTTAGAAAATAGTGGGAATAAAAGCCCCTTCCTCTCTGTTTTTTTGGAACCGGTTCTACTGCTCCTAGATGTATGAGGTGGATTACCTCCTGACACAGTAGAGGCTCATGAGATGGGTCCCTGAATAGGGACGGAGAGGGAGGGTGGGTAGGGGGTTTGAAAAGAAAGGGGATGGAGTAACCAGTTCATACGATTTCATGCACCCATTGGTTGGATGTGATGGTTTCCCAGATTGGATTAAACTGAAGTAGGCGGTCTCCGAATGGTCAGGAGAGAGTAGAAGTCTCCAGAACAGACAGACATGGGGTTCTTGGGCCCTCGGCCAAGGCTTCAGATTTGTTGCCTGGATGTTGATAGCTACAATGCAGCTACAGGAGGAGTAGGCTGTCCTTGATTACCTCAGTTTGAGGCCCTGTGACTCATACTGCCGATGTTGTGAATACGGAGTATGGCGGTAATATTGAGGAGCATAACAACTCCTCTGTCTTTTCTTGGGTCTCGGCATATAGATCCCCAGAGATCACAGTGTCGTTCGTGAATCTTTGAGGGTGTGAAGAGAGTCATCAGTCTTTTTGGCAAAAAGTTTGGGCCCTTTGAATGGTAAAGTCTTCGACCATGGATTAAACTTTCCTAGAAAAGCTGGAGAGATGGAGCCATTAGGCCCTTTGCATCACCTCTGCAGTCGCCACTGATCTTGCAGCTGTGTCTGCAGAGTCCAGTGCAGCTTGGAGGGCTTTTCTGGAGATGGGTTGTCCCTTGGATACAAGACTGTGAATTGTTCTGCCTTCAGGAATAAAATCAATACATTCAGAAAACTTTGTCTAGTTATTGTGATATTTTGCCAGCAAGGTCTTGTAATTAGCTATGCATAGGTGTAGTGTAGCTGAAGAGTAAGCCTTGTGGCCAAAATGGTCAAGGCTTTTTCAGTCCTTATCACGATGTGTTGTCTTGGGCTGTTGTCTGCCACATTCATGGACTGCATCGACCACCAGTGTCGGATGGGAGAAAAGGAACTCTGTGCCCTTCGCTGGCACCTAATATTTTTTGTCAGACCTCTTGCAGGTTGGAGGAGCTGTTGCAGGCGTCTTCCAAATGGTCTTGACAGGTTCCATTATCACGTTGTTCATAGGCAAAGCGATTTTGGAGGGGGGTGGTGTTCAAGATGTCCACCAGTTCGTATTGTGTCACCTGGACCTCTTCCAGAGAGATGTCCAGAAAGCTAGCCACTCTTTTAAATAGGTCCTCAAATTGTTTGAAATCATCCCCTATATTAGGGGGAGGAAGCATGACTGTGTCGTCTGGGGAAGATGACGACAGGTGGATAGGTGGTGCCCCTTCCTGGTATGGTCCTCCTCTTCCTCCTCTTCCCCAGCCAGTTCCGAAGGTCCAGGTACCAAAGGTGCGGACAATTGCTACGTACTCAGTCTAGAAGTGGTGAGCAGTCCCTATTGTGTGGGGTAAGTTGCCCACGGGTTCCAGTATGCCCACTGAGGTGGGAGAGGCATAGGTGGACCCCAGGGTTGGCCATACCACTGTAGATGTTTGGGATCAGCGTAGTATGCCCCCTGAAAGGATCCTGATTTGGGTGGCTCACGGTGGGCAGGAGATTGTGGGGGAGAATCTATTTGTCCCTCCTTGCTTAAAAAAGGTGGAGCAGAGCATAGTGGAGTGGCAATGAGACTCGGTGCCGAACGTGCCAGGATCGTGTCGGTGCTGAGGATGGGAGAGTCAGGCGTAGATCTGATTAAGAGATTTTTGTGCCATATGAGCTGCTGTGGAGTCTGCATGATCTGCACCGGGGGCTGTGCTTGCAGCGGTGCTGGGAGCTGCGGTGCATATGTTGGCACCATAGGCGGTGCCAGTACGTACACAGAGCGTGATTTGGGGATCAAGGACTGAGCCATGGTCTGCACTGGTGCTGCACAGCTGTGTGTTGATTGTGGCTTTGACTGAGTCAGTGCCAAGGCATGGGGTTCTGATTTCTCCTTAGCGCCTCTGTCCGAGCTGGCTCTTTTAGAGTCCTTAGCTCTCGCAGTACTGGCGGTGCTGGATGGTCCCGCTATCTTGGCTCCGGGCACTAAAGGTGTGGTCAGTGCTGATGCAGTTTGCCTGATCGCGGAATGGCACTTCTTGGCTGTTTCCTGCATTGGGGATATAGTTACCCACTTTTTAGACACTTTTTTAGTGGGTTCATCAGAAGTCTGAATCATGGTTTCTGACAGAAGCCATGATTGGCAAGGCTTTTTCCAGGGGAGGTCCAGGCTTCAGGCTCAGAAGCAGGTCTGAGAGATTTCTCCATGAGAAGGAGTTTGAGTTGCAAGTCTCTAGCCTTTCTTGAAAGCCGGAGTAATAGAAATGGGATGATATTTAATAGCGCAAAGTGTAAGGTCATGCACTTAGGGACTGACAAGATTTTTTGCTATCAGCTGGGGACTTATTAGTTGGAAGCAACAGAGGAGGAGAAAGTCCTGGGTGTACTGGCTGATCACAGGATGACAATGAGCTGCCAATGTGATGGGGCTGTGAAAAAGTAATCCTCTGATCATATTAGCATCAGACAAGGTATTTCCAGTAATGATTGAGAAGCATTATTACCACTATACAAGGCACTGGTGAGACCTCATTGGGAATACTGTGAGCAATTCTGGTCTCCCATGTTTAAGAAAGATGAATTCAAACTGGAACAGATGCAGAGAAGGGCTACTAGCATGATCAGAGAAATGGGAAATGTACCTTATGAGAGGAGACTCAAAGAGCTTGGCTTGGCTAACCAAAAGAAGTCTGAGGGGAGATATGTTTGCTCTCTATAAATACATCAGAGGGATAAATACCAAACAAGGAGACTAATTATTTAAGTTAAGCACCAGTGCTGAGACAAGAATAAACGGATATAAATTGGCCATCAACATGTTTAGGGTTGAAGTTAGACAAAGGTTTCTAACCATCTGAGGAGTTTCAGAGTAGCAGCTGTGTTAGTCTGTATCCGCAAAAAGAACAGGAGTACTTGTAAGGTGCCACAAGTACTCCTGTTCTTTTTGTCTGAGGAGTGAAGTTCTGGACCAGCTTTCCAAGGTGAGCAGTGGGGACAAAAAAAATCTAACTGCTTTGAAGGCTGAGCTTGATAAATTCATGGAGGGGATGATATGATGAGATTACCTACAATGACCCATTTGTGACTGCTAGCAGCAAATATCACCAGCAGCTGGAGATGGGACACTAAATGGGAAGGGTTCCAAGTTACTACAGAGAATTTTTTCCCAGGCGTCTGGCTGGTGGGTCTTGCGGACATGCTCAGGGCTAACTGATCACCGTATTTGGGGTTGGAAAGAAATTTTCCTCAATATCAGAGTGGCAGAGACCCTGGGGGTTTTTCATCTTCCTCTGCAGCATGGGGCAGGGTCACTTGCAGACTTAAACTACAGTAAAGGGTAGAATCTCTGTAACTTGAAGTCTTTAAATCATGATTTGAGGACTTCAGTATTTCAGTCAGAGGTTATGGGTGTATTACAGCAGTAGGTGGCTGAGGTTCTGTGGCCTGTGATGTGCAGGAGGTCAAAAAACTAGATGATCACGATGGTCTTTTCTGGCCTTATATCTAGGATTCAAACAATTGCAGATTTTGTACTTTCTAGCCCTGTTTTTCTCATTAATATTTTTTTAAATTAATAGCTTTATATTAATGATATTCCTAATTAAGACAAAAAGTAAGATGCAGATTCACATCACCAGTTACTTACAACACTACAGTGTTGGTTGATACAATGTACTCCAGTTCTTTGGTCCATGGATTGATGAAACTAAACCACTGACTCTTCAATGTAATGAAAGTTCCATCTTTTGCTCTGAATTTGTAGGAATTTGTAAATATTTTTTCTTTACTCTGCAACACTAAATAGGAAAAAAACATATTAAGCTCATCCGGATTTGTACACACAGGAGGACACAACTGACTTTAAAAATCTGTTTTGACAACTCAGTTTTGGTAGCCACACAACCAATAAAACAATTTCAATTTAATATAGTGCCAACAATGTGTTTGGTACTTTCCAGATAAGCACAAAGACTGAATTCCAATCAAATTTCAAACTCAGCCATCTGATCAGACATGAAGCAGAGCCCATCACCTCAGCTCTTGCAAGTCAACAGTGGGAAGATTTGAGGCTTGGTGGTCCTTTAAATTCAATATTTAATTACATGACTACATACAACCCCTGCTTCATTCAGTGGACAGAGACTGAGGCAGAGGGTTAAGGGAAGAGAGAGAATATTCTCTTGTGTTTAAAGCACTGGCAATACTACAGATGTTACATGCGATACAAGGCAATACTTAATGAGGACCTTATTTCTAACTTTTCCTAACTCGTGAGTACTTGATTTTCTTTTCACATAGTCTTTGTATGTCATTTGTATTAGGAGGACCAAGCATTTCATACCTGCTTTGTGTTTATCAGCTAGATGATTGTGATCATCTTGATGGAAGTACTCGTAACAAGAAGTTCCTAGAAGCTCTTGTGGCAGATACCCTAAAATTGCTGTTGCACTGTTAGGCAATAAGAAGAGAGGATTCACACATAATTAAAACACTTTATTCAGCATCTTATGCCAATATCATACAAAACAGAAAAAGCATATTTAAAGGGGAAACACGTGTTTATTTGGGTTTGAAAACAAAATTCTACTACAACAGGTACAGATCTAAACAAGTATAAGAAATAAATGATGGTTAAGCAATAGATTACCTTGAATCCATTAGCAACAGAAACAAGATATTAACATTTTTATGTTAGCCAGTACCATCAGACACAAAATAGTTCAAACCCATATTTCGCAGAGAACATTTGTATTATGTACACATTTAAACAATTAGGATGTACTGCACTGTTAGTTCTACAAACTAGCTCACTATATAGAGAAGAGGCTGATTTAAATTATTTAGAAATTCCACTGTTCAATTAATCTAAAAAAACTGGATATATTTTAAAATTATTGCTTTGAATTCTTCTAGTGAGAATGAAGCACTTAGTGCTTCAAAGTGTTACAAGTCGATATTACTTTAAATAATGGTGTTTAAACAGTTACTTTCATTCTACATTAACAGGCTTCGTCCTCACAGATAAAAGGCAGAATTGTCTAGATAAAGTACAGTAAACCAACCTAATAGTATTTCTACTTAAAGTACTGAGCTACAAAATAAGAAAAACTGACAACTGAGTCTATCCCATAAAGTTTTTTAAATAAACCAGTAACACATGGACAAACTCCCATGCTTATTAAATAATTTGTTGGCATAATTTAAATGTGTTGCATGAATTTTAAGAAACAAGATTAATGATTTTCTGGTTAAATGCTAACTGCTGACACTTATACTTAGTTTTCTCAAATTCTAATTTGAGGTTTTTGATTAATTAGTTTAAAAGCATTGTGAGGGGTGTGCTCCCCATACTGGCCCTGCAAGAGCTGAATTGGGCCAGGTGGGTCCAATTAGCTAATTAGCCTGCAAACAGGGGCACTTTAGAGGCTGGAGGCAGTGGCTCACCTGTGCAGGAACAGACAGGGTCTATAAAGGCAGGAAGCTGGCAACAGACAGGGGCTGCTAGGAAATTGGGGGCTGCTGGGAAAGGTTGCAGGAAGACAGGCAGCAGTCCCTCCCTGGGAAGAGGGTTTGCAGATGGTACACCCAGAGCAAGGAGGGAAGCCAGCAGTTGTAGAAGTAGTCCAGGGAAGGAGGAGTGAGGGCTGGGAGAGGAAAGCCCAGAACTCTTGGGTTGAGGTTCCCTGGACTGGAACCTGAAGTAGTTGGGCGGGCCTGGGTGTTTTTTTTTTTAATCAGCCACTGATGCCGTGGCATAAATCAGATGCGGAGCAGTCAACTGGAAGACTGCCTGGGTCACTGTGGGAATGGCAGAGATTTGAAGGACTGTAGCCTAGAAGAGGGGAAGGCTGAGTAACCTAGCCAGAGTAACCTAGCTGAGTCACAAAGATGATGCTGAGGTTCCTGGGACCAGAGAGGAGCTGCAGACCAGAGTGAGAGTGAGAGAAAGAGAAACAGACAGTGTGATGGCATGCAACCATGGGAAGGGGCATCAGCCTCGCGAGCTAATCCCCAGAGTGATCATAAGGAGGCACCAGACCATCAGTGAGTGATGCATCCCTTGACAAGCATAATTTAACAACATGATGTGCTCTTTAATCTGATCAGTAAATTATTTAGTGTAAGGTAATACAATACTTTTTTTTAATATGATGTCTTACATATGTGAGTCCTGCTCAACAAGTTTTGTTCTATGTAACAGAATGCATTAGGCAACCTACATAAGGAATCACTATTGGCTCTTTCTATAATAAAGAACAAAATGCTTACCGTAGGTCTACATAAACAAATTTTCCATCCATGGCAAAGCGTGTAACAAATTCTGTTGGTTTCACCTTTATCTGACCACTCTTTTGTGGAACAACATAAGGATGCAATCTCCCAACTGCAACAAGACAGTTAAAGTCACTGCTGTCTTTTTCTGCATTTTTCTCCTCTTCCACTCCCACCTTGGTAGGAGGCCAGCTCTTCAGATGGCCAGTACAATGGATTGTACGGTACTTTTTGTGATCTAAGTGGAAAAAAAGAGGAGTTAAATTCCCAAATGAAAATTAAATTTTAAATTTCTCTTCCAGCTGTTATGTTTTGTGCCTACATACAGGTCTGAGCCCTACAGAGCTGTAAATAAAGTCATTGAATAGCATCTTAAATGTTCTCACACAAAAGAAGAAAATTAAACCAACAGTTTAGTAATACGTATTGCTTTCATTTACTGCAAATATTTTATGCAGTTTCTTTTGTACTGTGAATTACATTAAGCTGAAGAGACATTCTGTAACTTGAATATCATAATCTTAAACAAGGAGACAGATATGGTTATCGAAGTGTAATTGCTAAGACTAAGACATTTTCAGCAAAATGTAAAAGCTTAATTTCTGTTTCTTGAATTTATAGTATATACTGCAATTCATTCCAGTGGATCTCTCACCATTTAATTATGTAACATTCAGGAATCACTACAAATCAGCTGCAGTCCTGCATCCGTGCCATAGTAAGACGTTTACTATCATACTACACAAGAGAGCAGATGGGGATATTTTGCCCAAAGACATTGGGGCAAACCTTTATCATTCCAGAAAGTCCCATGGGATTGTTAGTGTCCATGCACTGCAGACAGGAACTCTTGTTTTTAGAGTCCTATACGAAGATGCTTTGCCCCAAAGTAAACTGCATGGAATTCAATTGATCTACCTTGGGAAAATGAAAGGCTGAGTCATTTCCATTGGTATTTCAACACGGGTTCTGGGGCATGTCTAGATGTTTAGTTCATTAAGTCATTGTTTTCTTAGGTACTGATATATGCAGTTTAAGAATGAAATGCTGGCCCATTTACAGACAATAGGAGTTTTGCCACTGACTTCAATATGGCCAGGATTTTACACTAAATGTTATGAAAGAGTCAGAGTAAATTAAAATTATTCCATGGTTAATATCAACAAAGCCAGCTTTACATTTAAAATAAAAATGACAATTTTTGGAATGTCTGACAATTTTAGTAAGCCTTGGAAAACTCTATTTTAAATATAGAGTCTAAAACAAAAGCTTTGTTTAAATAAAGCGTCCAAGTACACTGAAAATATGACAAGTGTTTACTATCGCTCATGGAAACCAAAAAAAGCTATAAAAAGATGGGATGTAAATCAGCCAAAAGTTGCACTAAAGAATTAAAGAGAATATATTTTATTGGACCAGCTTCTTTTGGTGAGACACAAACTTTCAAACCATGACCTGAAGAAGAGGTCTGTGTGGCTCAAAAGCTTGTCTCTCTCATCAACAGAAACTAGTCCAATAGAAGATATTACTTCATCCACCTTGTCTCTCTAATTTCCAGGGGCCAACATGGCTACAACTACACTGCATATTAAAGAATTAACTTTAGTAGTTTTTATAATAAAAGGAAAAATCATACCTGACATATAAATACAATAATGAGAGGATTTTTCCCCCCCACCACTTAAGTTATCCTGTCCAAAACAGCAGATTTTGCAACCCTATTAATAGTTATCTCCATGACAGACATTTCTTCTTGCTCCTGTGCTTTGAACTGTTCCAGTTCCATTCAGTAATTTTCCTCAGGCTTCAACATCCCACCAGAATCTCACGTACGCTCACAAGCAGTGACTGATTCTTTTTTTTCCCCCTAGGGGGATAACTAAGACAGGCTTTTCCGAGATCATAAAAACAAGGTCTTATCATGTATATCTTATTCCCTACAATTATTTTGTGAAGCCACTGCTACCTATTTAGGCCCTGTAACTGACTCAGAATTTAAATATACCATATTTAAAAACAGAAATCCTCCAACTCAGCCACACTTTGAGATACCTTTCTTTTTTGAGTTGGGCAAGCATTTCTTTTCTTCCTTGACTGTGATCCTACTACACTTCATCCGACAGAAGAAGGAACGCCGAGCACCAGAATGCAATCGAGCTGATCCAGCTTGAAAATCCATACGTACTTGCAAGCCAGCTTGTAAAAGTTTAATAAGACAGTCAGAAAAAGGTCTTTGGACTACACAGAATTATTTGTATGTAAATCATTATTATATTCTCCCAATTGCCTTACTGCCTCTTAAATTTTTGCACGTACAATTAACTATTGAAAAAAGTTAAATGAATTAAATAAGATGAACAAAACATGATTGTGAAAAGTGGAAGCTAACAAAATATTTTAATATACTATTCAATACTATGCAATCTTATTTAGTAAATTAAGATTTTAAAAACTTTCAATTTCTATTTGGTAGGGGGGAAGCTGCAAAGCTGCTTATAAAAAACACTATAAAATAGTGATCAGCTGCACAGTACATAATGTTCTCCATACTAGCAAAATAAGACTTGGTTAAATTAGGATTGACACTTAGCATTTTCAGAGAAGACAGTGATTCTTGGTATTGAAGCATTTTATCCCATGCTCGACTACATCAGGTCTTTTGTATTGACAAGACCTATCAAATACAAGAAAAAAAGTAGTATGCCTGGTTAAAAAAAATTCATACCAACTCTTGGTAAATGTCTAACAATGTAAACTTCAGTCATTCTTATTACCTAAAATGAGTTCCTTTCTGATGTAGCTTTCAACTTGTTTGTGTATTCTAAGCAGCAGTTATGCATTCAAACATGATTTGTTTGTGCAAATCATCTGAACGTGTTTGCACATATATGCTTGAATGCATGAATACGCCCTACATAATAACCGAACTTAAAAACAAATGAAGACATTACATTAAAAATCTGAGTATATTTAAACAGACACTTACTTTTGGCATCTATAAGTTTTTCTCTTGGTGAAGCGTCTGAGGAGGATAGTTGCTCCTTCACTTTGGCAACATCTTTTGGATGCAAGTAGTCAAATAAACTTTGTCCAATCAAGCTGGCCTAGTGAAAAAATGTTAATTTAAAAGCTGTGCATTATACACTCTATTCCGCATCTCCTCACCAAGGAGCTTAATGTTGAAGGCTGTTTTAGAAAAGGTCAGAATTTCCAGATATCTGAATTATTCTGTCTAAACTGTAACATTTATCCATTGAATTTTTCAAACAACAGCTTTGCTGAATTCTTATTTTTGTTTCAATATTTAATTAAAAGCATATGAACACTATAGAAATTAGTAAAAAACAGGGTGGCAGAAATGCAATTATATCTTACCAATTAAGTTAAATGGTGAAATCGAAAAATATTCATTCATGTTGTTTTCCTACCTTTCAGTTTTTAAGGGGTGATGGTCTCTCTTACTGCTGGCTAGAGAAGGGTAAGGGGGCAGACAGCCTAGTTTAAACTCTAAAATGCTATGAGGAAAAATGAAAAGTGAAGGGGTTTAAAAGTAGATGTGGGTGGCACAAAGGACTCAAAAAGCTTCTCATCAGCCACTGGGCAAGGCAGTTCAGGCCAGAGATTTCCAAGTAAATAACCTGCATCTCCGTAAAGGGGATAGCACTAGACTGGTCTTCATTCTTTCTCCCTTCCCTGAACTAAAATGAGTCTAGATTGGCTGGTTTCCATACTACAGCAACACAGATGTCAGTGTAGGACTATTCAATCTTAAAATCTTTGAAACTAAGCAATTACCAAGTTGAGTTTCAATCTACTTGCACTGTTGAAATACTGGTTTTCTAAAGTTCAGAGAATCATTCACCATCCAAAAGCCCAAATCCCCATCAATAAAAGGAGGAAGCAAGGACATCTTCAAAATATATTTTTCTCTTGGGTTGGTATGTAAATCATTTCCTGAAGATCATAGTTTGAAATTAGATGCCAGTAATTGGGTCACAGCGTTCATTGTAGTTGCAGAATGCTTCTAATTTCAAAGTAACGAACCTTTGGAGTAATTGTGTCGAAGAGGAAGCTAAAGCCAAAAGATTTAAAGAAATCATGCAGAAGGAACGGTATTTATAACAAAACCAAACACATTATCTAAAAACAAATTTCATTTTAATAAAAAATGACTTGATTATAACTACCTGATCATAATTAAGTATCTCGCGGACTGATTCAGAGACAAAGAGAATTTTTCCTCTATCACATCCAACCACAAACAGGAACCCATCTGCAGTCTATAAATATAAAAATTAGTCTTTATAGAATCAAACAAACACTGATGAAAAACAGCTATATAGAATGAGTATATTAACTGATGCTGGAGATTATAATTGTACACCTCAATATTTTAGGTGAATTACAGTTTATTAAATAAGAGAGACCAATTAAAATGACGGCAAATATCCAATCAGACCATGACACAGAGCTTAAAAACAAAAATGGTTTTGGGAAAAAGCAGCTTAGCTGTAGAACAGCTTAACTTGGAGTTATTTTACAGATTCTTGCTAAAGGATATTATTACACGCAATAGACTAGGCAAACTTTGGCAAATGAAAGTGTGATAAGAAAATATTGTAAGTAAAAACAGCTACTTTCATAGGTTAATTTCCACATCTTTCAGTAACTTAAGTGTATACTTTGAAAACCAAATGAAGTGTAGAAAATTTGCTGGCATATTAAATGGAAATGAAAGATTTTTTTTTTTGTATAAGTGCACACACTTAGATATTTACATAAATACAATGAACATATCCACCTAACACATTCATTATGCAGTTTTTATACAGATTTACGATACTCATGGGTACAGTTTGCATAAATGCCCTATTAACACATACAGTTTCCATGGCTCTTATAGAAAAATCCTGTGCATATAATTCTATTGTTAGAGTTTATAAACTGAGTCTTAGCAAAGATATCAAAGCACTGACTTGAAGGAAGAAATGTAAGGAAAAGCCCTTTGCAGTCAACTGAAGTTAAACCAAGCTTTAAAGAGGACATCACTTGATACATGGTTTCTTTTTACTTACCTTAAGGATTAACTGTCTCAGCTCACCATCCTGTAAAAATGAAGGCTTATATTGGACTTCTGCATAAGAACTGGTAGAACCTGCAAAACAGCAAGTTATTTATAAATGTTATAAAAGAAACAAAATTTAATCATTTGTTTCCTTTATAAACAAAGCTGCTTTTTCATCAAATTCACATGTAGAACACGCACACAGTGCTTTCTAACTATAAAAAGAATAGTTTTCTGCTTTCCATACTGGAATGTACAAATTCACTTTTCTTTTAATAAACAGGTCATTAAACAGTCATAACCTCATCTCAGGAATTCTAGACCTATGCTAAAGCAAATGTGTTTGGGATAACACCCAGAACACAAGACCAGATGTTTGCAAAAAATGAAGAACCCTGCGGAAAAAACAAGTAAAAAGGAAACAATTTTAGGTGGGGACTATTTTAATTAGATCTTAACTAGACTCAAGATTATGACTTCAGTTCAAAATGAAAGAGGAGCTTTGTAAGTTATGCAAGAACTCATGCATGTTACCAATGTGGTGTGACTTCTCTCTCTCTCTCAAAAAAGAAGTTTGTATTGAAGTATATTACTAGGATATTAATTTATAGAAGATTAAAATTTTCTGCCTTCATCTTTGAGATTTTTCAACACTACCCCTTATGCAGAAATAACCTTGAGATGTGACAGGCAATGTAAGTGCAAAAAGGAGTTGGTACTCAGCAGCAGCAATTCAGTTAACCAGGGCAAAACTGTAGAATACATTTAAGCCAGATCACATCCACAAGCATGGAGCTGTCAAACAACATTGGCCACGACAGGCTTACTCCTGAAAAAAGTGCCCTTATACCAGCAAGTGTTCAGCATCACTTGTTTTATGTCTCCTCAGAGATAGTACCTCTAACAGAGCTTTCCCCTAGAAGGCCTCTATTCTACCATGACTCTACTCCAAACCCCACTGTATCTTCCCTTCCCCAAACTGGATAATATTAAATAAACAAACCAAGAACAGCCAAAATAACTGTCCGTAACATCACCGATTTGATTTTGCATTGCTTCTGTGTAGAACCGCTTTGTTTTTCATTTTAGAATCGATCATTAGCTACATATCATTAAGAATATCACTTAAGTAATAAGGGAAGTGGTATTTAGGAGAACTAAAGACACTTCTACTACAAGCAAATGAGAGATTAAACATTTTTATAGTCCTAGGTTTGATAGATGTCTAACTTGATCTGAATCCTGCCTGCACCATCAAACATTGATTAACATACAAAAAAGGCTCCACCATCCTTGTATATACTAAGCTGTCTGCATGGAGCTGTGTGTGTTAAAATCCGTAAGCTTTCCCCTCTTTAAGTACTGTTCAATGGAGCAATTCCTTCAGTCAGCCCCTTTTTCCATGTTCCTCCAGCTGCCCAATGGCATGCCTGCCATGGCATACACTCTGGTTTCATTCATTCAGATTAGATTTCCATCTTTTTTCGATAACTTTAGAGACAAGGGGTTGTTAAACTCTATGATGAATCTTGGCATGTGTTATAAACTCTTTCCATTTAATACCTAGTATTTCTCCTGCGGCATTTAGACATGTCTAAACCTTTGGTGGATATCCAGCTTTCACATCCACACATTAGGTGGAAATAACATTTGAGTTGAAGATTAGCAGTTTGGTCTTTAACTAGTAGCTTTTTAATGACCAAATCTTTTTTCAGCTGTTGAATGCAGTTGCCACTTTGCTAATTCATGACATTATTTCCTTCTAAATATCCCTTGGGATAAACATTTTGAAAACAGCAGGCCTACATAACTTGCATCCAAGAATCCTAGAAGAGTTGGCTGAGAAGATCTCTAAATCATTATTAATTTTTAACAAATCATGACGACTAGAGGAGTGCTAACACTGTACCTGTGTTCAAAAAGGAAAAGCGGGACATCTTGGATAACTAACTGGACATCAATCCCAGGCAAAATAATGGAAAAGCTGATAAAGGATTAAAGGATGTGAATATAATTAACACCAGTCAGTGCAGCTGTACAGGAAATAAGTCTTGTCAAACAAACCTGATTTCATTGTTTGATGACACAAACTTGGTTGATTCAGATGTAGATGTATTTAGACTTTTGTAAGGCATCTGACCTCACAACATTCTAATTAAGAAACTAGCACTATACAATATCAATACATCATGTTAAATGGAAGAACTTGCTAACTGACAGATCTCAAATTAGTAGTCATCAATGGGGACTCAGTGTCAAATGGGAATGTTTCTAGTGGTGGTCTGCAGGGACCAGTTCTAGATCTGATGTTATTCAGTATTTTCATCAATGATCTAGAAGTAAATATAAAACCACTACTAATAAAAATTTACTTGACATAGACCACTGGAGTACCAAATAATGAGGAGGACAGAGTAACCATACAGACTGATCTGGATCACTTGGTGATCTGGGTCCATTCAAACAAAATGTGTTTCAATATAGCCAAATGCTGTAGTCTAGTTGAGGGTAAATGGAGGTAAACAGAGTTTACCCCCTTGACATTTGGGGAGTGGAGTTTAGATTAGTTTACCAGTTTACGGATGACCCAATTGGGAAATTAAGGCAGGCACACCGGTAACACTGCACTTGGCCACAAGTGGATGTGCAGGGACAGCATGCACCTGTTACACAATCCTTGGATGTATGAACATGAGATTAGCGAGTAGGACCAGGGAAGTGAGTTTATCTCAATATACGGCACGAGTGAGAATGATACTGGAACACTATACTTCTGGTATCCCCGCTTTAAAAAGATATATGGAAAAATTGGAGAGAGTAAAGAAAAATGCCACAATAATGATCTGAGGACTGGAAAAAATGCCGTATAGTGAGTAATTTTAAAGAGCTCAATCTGTTTAGTTTATCAAAATGAAGACCAAGAGGTGACCGGACTGTAGAAAATGTCAGGTACTAAAGGGCCCTTTAATCTAGCAGAAAAAGGTATAACAAGAACCAATGGCTTGAAATTAAAGCCAGAAAAATTCAAATTAGAAATAAGGCACTTGCTTGATCCCCATTGTCTAGAGGAAGAATACTATTGCTTTGGAGAGGATGCATCATAGGACAACAAATAACTGATTCTCTTGAATAAAGTCACAAGAACCAAAAGTTAAGATTTTTATTGCAAAAGGAGGAAATTCTGATGTAACTGAGAAGCTTAAAAGTTTTTTTTTTTTTACGCTAATAAGAGCTTCAAAATCTAGAAGACAAGGTAAAAATAAAACTAGGAGCAGCTAAGAGAATTTAAACAGAACTATTGTGTGTGTGTGTGTGTGTGTGTGTGTACAATGTTGTACCTTATAGATATAACTAATGTATCACTGACAACAAACAAAGTGCATGCAATAGTTCGATATACACGTAAAACTATGTCTGGGGAAGTCGACTTAGATACATGGTAATACAAATAACCAACAGCAAGGGACATGAGAGTAAGTAAATCTAAAGAGCAGACATGTTGACTCAGCTGACTTTTTGTTCCTAAACTTACGTTTCAAATGTAACTGCTTCTTTGCCACAGCGTTTCACTCTAGTCTTTGCTATCACATAAAAGTTTACATTTCATCCTAAATAACTAAATGTAAGAACAACCTCTAAAATAAAGTGCAATATCTTCAAAATTCAATCTTTTGAAAAATATATTTAGTGAACCTGAGAGTTGAATTCTCTAAGTATAGATACAAAATAGCTAACAGTTATATAACTAAAGAAATTCTGTTGTGTAATTCCCATTAAAACAAGGAATTATACGATCAGTTTTTAAATTACCTTTTAATGACTTGAAATGCTGCACAGCCATTCGTAATACTGTAAGTTTGTCTAATTTACGTGCCACAGGATTGCACTGAGGTATCATAGCAGATAATTCTTCTATCAAGTTATTCATTTTATCTCTTCTTCGTTTTTCTGTTTGACTATGAGCCTCCCTAAGAAGAAAAGTATTTTAAGCAAAGTTCAAAAGACATACATTTTTCACTAGATTTTCCCCTGTGCTATATACATCAACTTTATCAGGGGGACAGATTGTATTGTGAGAAACACCATCATCCCGGAAGAACTTATGTACAATGCATATATTTGACAGCTAATCTGTCACCGGATTCGCCTGAAATATGCAGCAGCTGCTTATGGAAAATGATGTGATGTGAAATTGTGAAAATAAAACAAAAAAAAAACAAAGTAGCATGAACTTGCTGAAAAGTGGTTGGAACAAAAGAGAAGTGGAGGCTTTATATAGTGCTTTGTCTCTGTTCTTTCCCATAATGCTGAATTTGATTTTACAGAAAACATTCCCCTCTATGCATACACCTGTGGCTGCACATTACTTTTAAGGACCAATTTTAAAGAAAATCTCCGGTTTTACAGAAAAGTTAACTTTGACTTTTCTTCCAAAGCAACCAATTTTTAAAAAATATCTGGATTAGTTATCCCACAATAGCGTTGTTTTTCCTATTTTCCTCTCAAATCTTTGCATTTGCTTCCATCCCATCCATCCCCAGACTAAAACTGTTTTTCTGACACCAGGTAGTCATACACACTGTTTGCCTTTTCCTCTGTGTCTATACAACGGAAGACAGAGACTTAGCTCTCTAGCCATAACTTTACCATGGCACAGCTGCACTGCTGAAGCGCTGCTAGCGCAGATGCTCTAAGCCGATGGGAGAGAGCTCTCCTGTCAACTGAATTACTCCAGCCCCCGAAAGCCTCACTAGCTATGTCAGGGGGAGAAGCTCTCCTGCTGACGCAGCACTGTCCACACCAGCGCTTTTGGTCGGTGTAACTTACATTGCTCAGGGGAGTGGCTTATTCACATCCCTGAGTGACACAACTTATACTGACGTAAACTGTAGTGTGCACGTAGCCTAACAGACAAACATTTGGGGGAAGTTCCCAGCTTAGTTGTACAACACCTGGAGAACCCAATGAACAGGTAGTTTATTGCAACTGGGATAGATGGATTCAGGGGAACTGTATCGTGCAGAATGCATTTCGCAGCTGCTAATGCACAAAAGTTTTATGATTTGCAGTCAGGAAAGGAGATTGAGGTCACAAACACGTTGCCCAAGGAAGCTTCTGGAAACCAACAGTGGGGGAATATAGTGTTGAACCAAGCCCTAAAATATTCCTCTTGTGAACTAAATGCATAACTTTACTTTTTTTGATTACTGAACAAAGTAATTCAAAACAAAATTAAGAACAAAAGGTGAAAATTAACAAAGGACAAGATTTTATATACAGGATTTTATATATATTCACTAATCACTGGGACATCTATTGAGAACTGAATTTTGTGTTTAACAAGTAAACCAAACAGCAAGGATAGTACATCACTAGAGACTTGTTGATTTAGTTTGACAATTACTGTTTAGATTTAAATTATCAGATAATAGTTTTGAGTAAATATAAAAGGATGTTTACTAATTATTGTATAATAATAAAGATTTTGGTAATATGAGATCACATTACAGGACTCTGCTATTAAACCTTTGCTGAGAAGAAAGGAATGACCAGCATTTTTTGTTTGTCAATGCCACAGTTTGCTGATTAGTGGATTGTGGATTAGAAACATTTGACTGTTATGTTACAAAGTTCTTCAAGTCACAGAGGAAAATTCTCCAATTTACACACGCCATGAATATATTACATTAACTAATATATACCTAGTAAAACCACGAGGTAAACATTTTCAAAGCCAATGATGGGATTTAGCTATACAACTTACACTGCAGTAAATGGAAAATTAAACCCCCAATCAACTTTGAAATTTCAACATGAATTTAGAAAAAAGTTTAAGAAAATTGGAAACATTAAGTATTTGAAAACTTTGAACAAAACTATGAATTATGACTTTAGATTTTGGTAGAAAAATGTACTTTTCCAAATTACTATACCTGAAATATTTAATTTTTACATGTTCTCCATCTTCACTCCTAGAAAAACAGAATACATATTTACATAAATTCATATATTAAATGTTTATAAAAAACAGTACATTAATTCAAAAAGAAACATGAAATATTGCTTATTAGTGCACAAAGTTCTGTAAGTCTCAATTCTTTAGGAACCGTTCCACAACGCAAGACCAAAACATAATAAACTGCACTGAATTTAACTTTGAATGTTCACACAGTTTAAATATTATAGTCTAAAAATAATGGAACACACGATTGGTTTAGGCCCCACATTTGGTCTACCATAAAACCTGTAATTTGGTGAGAAATGTTCCACAGATTTTTAACACTAATACTATTGCCAAGAAAAACAAACCAACCACAGTTTAGGATAGACATACAATATTTTGTACTTTGTTCAGTCAGCACATTTTTCTAAACATAGCAGTAACATTAGTGATACCAGTCTATAAAGATATAAATGAAACAAAGCTATATTGTCTTCTGTCGTGAGAAGCAAGGGGAAAATGGTAAACATTTGCTAATTGAATGGTCAGCACACAAACAATTCTGAAAAAAAGTATTTACAAGTGTAAGAATATACTGTAGCTGGTACACTGTCACTGATCTGAATAACCTGCCCCTAACTCCCAGTCCCCTCCCACCCCCAGCCTCATCTTCCCCATCGACCAGGAATCTTGTCCTAACCCATTCCTTACTCCTTGCAGGTCTGACTCTTACCCCTCTTCCACACTGCCTGGTCCCAAAAGGAGGTCAGTGAGAGCACAGGAGGAAAGGCTCCCCGTCTCGTGCACAGACTCAGCACAGACTGCAGCAACCCAGAGCAGCAATTGCAGTGAAAGTCCTGCTCAGTCATGAGCTGGAGCATGATCAATGCAAATGAAATCTTCAGGGAAATTCAGCTCCGTTTCTGAGCACATACTCACAGTCAGTAGAACTGAAGAGCACCTCAAGAGATGATGATGTCCATCCTACGGTGCTGTGGCAGGACTACATATACCTAAGCCATTCCTGACAGATGTTTATCTAACCTGTTCTTAGAAGCCTCTCATAGAGGGGATTCCACAACCTCTCATGGAAGCCTATTCCAGTACTTAACTATCCTTTGATAGTTTTTTTCCTGTTATCTAACTGTGACAGACCATACCCTTATGTTCACCACTTTTACAAAACCATGATGCATTTTGTACAAAGTATGCCTTGTGAGGTATCATTCAAAAATTCATAATCTACTGAACATTACTGTCCTGATAAAAATATGTGTAGCAACAGTATGTAAAGTTATAAGATTTTACTGTATGGCATTGTTGAGAGATGCTCAGAGTTTAGAAAAACAATCCAAACCAGTTCCTCAGGGAAAAAAGTTTAGACAGCACCTCAGCCAGGTGTCAACATAATCAAGTGGACTATTACGCAGTGGAGCATCCATTCTTTGGGAGGAAAAAGAGTATGACCTAGAAATTTACATTTTGGCAATGGAACAGGAGGGGGTTCCTGTCCAAAACAGATTTGCTGTTGCCTGAACCCCAGCTGGAGAGGATTCTCTCAAAGAAGATAAACGCTTTAAGAAGGGGGAACAGAGGACACATATCACCGCATCTTTACTCTTGCATCATCAACATTTGAAAGACAAAGGAAGCATCAGTGAACTACGGGACTGGTCCTTACTGAAGGAATTCAACCAGTAACAGCATGAGGTGAGAAAAACCTTTACTTTGAATTCATTTAGTTTCTAAGTTAGGTATTAATTTGCATTTTACCTTTTATTTCTTTGTATCCGATCCTGACTTTTATGCCTCATTATTCGTAATCACTAAAAATCTTTCTGTAATAAATAAACTTCTTGTTTTATCTAAACCAGCATGTGTTTGGATCCCGGTTCCCCTTTATCTTGGGTGCTGCCCCCTGGCAGTACACCCACTCTCTGGGTCTCCCCACCCATGGGAACCCCCAACCCTCTATCCCCACCTCGCCTCAGTCTATGGCTACTGCCAGTCACCACCATCTAGACCCTGCTCACTGGGGCGGACTTCAGTGGACAAGCCATTCATCATTGGCAAAGTGGGGTTTGGACCTGCTGCCTTTGCCTACTCTGGGCTTCACCTCTGCAACCCCAATACCCTTCCAGGCCTTTAACAAGGCCTGCAGCCTGGGGGGTTTCCAGGCTGGAGCTCCCCAGCTCCTCCAGCCTTCCCCCGGTCCTGCTCCACTCTAGGTACCTTACTCAGCTCCCAAGCAGCCAGGCCCATCTCTCTCCACAGCTAGAGAGAGACTGCCTGAGCTCCTGGCCCATAGCCTTTTATAGGGCCAGTTGTGGCCTGATTGGGGCGTGGCTCCAGCTGAGGCTGCCTTCCCCATCAGCCTAGCCTTTGGCTCACTGCCACAGCCCTCTCCCAGGGCTGGCTGCAACCCTTTCAGGCCCAGAGCAGGTGACCACCACGCGACAGCATATTATTTCCTATTAATGAAATGATGGGCTTTTTGTGAGCTTGTACTGGACAGAAGGAAAGAACTTGTCAGTACAAAGACGCACACTTCTGGGAACAAGTCTGGGACTGGGAATTTGCTGGTGTCACTCTACAATATAGTTCAAGAATGGATGGCTAGAAATGCTCATATCATTCAGCTTGGAGTGATTTTGCATGCTAGAAGCTGTGGGTGAACAGGCCAGGAGTGGTTGTTCTTACAGCAAAGCAGTGTGAAATGCACGCCCGGTTGCAGGGTTGAGAGGACGCAGCTGTTCAACTGGCCAGATTTGTACCCTAGGGAATGTCACCCTAGTCTAAATCTCTTTTGCAGCAGATCAAATAAATTAGTTCTTGTCTTACATTCAGTAGACATAAAGAACAATCAATGACTGGCCTCTTCATAACAGCACTTAAGATACTTGAAGACGATTATCAGGTCCTCAACACGGTCTCCTCTTCTCATGACTACACCTACCCAGTTTTTTTTTTTTTTTTTTCATCATAGTTTTCAGATTTTCTAAACCTTTTATCATTTACGTTGCTCTCCTCTGGAATCTCTCCGATTTGTTCACCTCTATCTTAAAGTATTGGACACAGTATTCCAGCTGAGGCCTTGTGTAGTGTGGGACAATTACCTTCCGTGTCTTACACACAACACTCCTGTTAATACACCCCAGAATATTAGCCTTTTTCGCAACTGCATCACATCGTTGGCTCATATTCCGTTTTGTCTACTATAATCCCCCCAGGTACTTTTCCGTAGTACGAATGCCCAGCCAGTTATTTCCCATTTTGTGGTTCTTCATTTGATTTTTATTCAAGTGTATTACTTTGCACTTGTCTTTACTGAATTTTGTATGGTTGATTCAGACCAATTCAGGATGCCCCCAGCAACCCTTTTTCACCCACTCTTCTCCCCAGGGCAATGCATGGGGCAGGAACTTCCCCAACTCTCAGGAAAGCCAAGCAGGCTCTCTCCAACCATCCCTGGGATACAGCAAATGGTGCCATGGCCCACCTCCCTGGGATAACAGCCTTCTATTGCTAACTAATATTGTCCATTGCTGTAGCTCAAGCTGTCTTGCAGTGCTGAAACTTTAGGGTTCAAACCCTGCTGACAATGCATGATTTGGGCAGGCAGGAGAGGGTAGAAAGATGAGAGCAGTTTTAAAACCAAGTTCTCTGGTATACCTTTTTCTTTTTTTAAAAGACATCTTCAAAATTACATACAATAAAAGTAAGTGACCTTTCTACATAAATAAATCACTTGAAACATCAAACTTATTGTTCACATGCAACCTTAATTCTGCGTCAATGTGTTCAGGATAGTATATGATCATGTTATTAAAAACTATTTTTTTTAATAAGAACCTGCCTCATTAAGTGCAGTGGTCCAATAAATGAGGGGGGAGAATTAAGGTTGCCTGGGCAATCCAATCTGGAATTTCCTGACTTTTGAACACTTGATTTGCCAACTTAAATAAATATTTAATATCTTTTTGCACATAACTGACGTTTAATTTCTAAGGCATGATACATTTGAATTATAGTACACTGTACCAGAAATTTGGCTATACAAGCTGTCTAAACAAATTTTAGTCAATGAGGTCTGGTTGGCTCAGGGAATTGTCAATGACTAGATTCAGAGCACTTCAGAAACTCTAGATTCCTGGTTCAAATTAGTACACACAGTCATTATCTGTACAGGGCTTGAAAAATCTACTTTTCGTTGAGTCTGAAATTTCCCATGGAACATTGGGATCCTATGCCATAAGTTCTGCAGGAGCTAAAGCTGTTAATTTTTCAGAAATGGATTTGTTTGGACTACTTATTTAAAAATCTTAAGAGGTGCAGGGAACAACTGAACATATCATGTGACAGTGGAAGTCAAATGTTTACATTCTGGACACATATTGTAGTTTGTTGAGGTTCAGGAAAAGAAAGTGCTTTCACTGGTACAAATGCAGCATGGCGATTTTATTTTCATTTATTAACATGATGATTCTCAAGCTGTAGTCTGGGGACCAAAAGAAGACTAGAGAGCTTGCTGGTCCAATGTGCTGACTCTCTTCCTTTCTTCCAGCTGCTAAATAACATTCAAAATACACCTTAAGGTACAATACTTTCCTAACAGTGTTTTTCCATGTACGCAATTGCTGTAGCTGCCCCAGGGATGTTACGTGCTTGTGGATGGGAGAGGAGCAGTCCACAAGATAATCTCAGTATTAGACCATGCTCCACACTATGAAAGAGTTTGAGAACTCCAGCATCAAATCTTTCTAGGTTGCACTTCTGTCTAGATGCTTATGTGACTGCCTACCCACTTCATCATTACACCAACACCATATTTTGCAGTTCTAAGTTTAAGAGCTAATTAGCCAATCAACCAGACACTAAGTGATATTCTTGTTTGTATTTGTAATACCCCTCTGCTAAAAGTTAGCATGCCTTTACTGAAAAAAGGAGGATAGAAAAAAGTTACGGTTTGAAATTCTAGCACCAGAGGTATATAACCAAAGGTCTTGGACCAGAAAATGCCATTACAGAAATCCACCCAAAATCAACTCAAGGGAGTCAGGACCCTGTCTGTCTACAGTTCTTGATCTCCCAGGATTTCCAAAGAATGGATGTGCAATACTGTTTTCCCTTTAAAATAAATGTAATGGGAAATTGCACAAATATATTACAAAGTCAAGCAAGAACAGATGCTTGCCTCCAACTGGTATTGTCTCATCATGATGTAGAGACAGAGTAGAAGCAGACCACTTACTGGTTATCAAAATCACTTCCTTTGCGCTTTTTTGGAAACTCAACTGAAAATGTGTTGAAAGAACAGGCAGTGGCAGGGTTGGTTATTGGATTCATAAGGGTGGAGACTGCAGAGGCAACACATTGGCTCCCTTCCATCACAAGATTATCTGTAAATGAAAAAAAATTATGACAATAAAGCAGAAGAGTATTATTTGCTCATTTTTATTTTGATTTTAAAAACAACTCTCCACCCAAAAGTACCTCATCCAGAGCTCTGGGCGTCTTCGACATACACTTAAATCCACAATACTAGAAGTGTGACAATATAAATTGTCAAATGAAGCAGCACTTCCCCTTTCCCCCAACCATAATAAAACTTCAACTAACCACCAGTCATTAGAACCAATAAAACTTAAAATGCATTCCCCATATGCATGATCCCACCGGCTACAATCCCATCCTGTAATATCTCAGACTTCCAAAAAATGCATGCTGATACAGATGAGCTTTTCAGAGTGAGCAGAAGATCAAAATATTGGGGCTTTTTCAAGCCAGGGACCAAGCACAAACAAAACCTTACAAGGATACACATATCGTATATAAAAGACACTCTAAATTACTAACAAATTTCTACAGCTCTATACTTTAAAAAGCAGCTAGGCATGCTAAAAATATTTTGTACAAATGGAATCATAGAAATGTACGAATGGAAGGGATCTTGAGAAGTGATGAAGTCCAGCTCCCTGCACTGAGGTACAACCAAGTAAACCGAGACCATCCCTGACAGATGTTTGTCCAATCTGTTTTTAAAAACCTGCAATGATGGGGATTCCACAACCTCCCTTGGAAGCCCAGTCTAGTTTTTAATTATCCTTATAGTTAGAACACTTTTCTTAACAGCTAATCTAAATCTCCTTTGGTGCAAAATAATCCCATTACTTCTTGTCCTACCTTCAGCGGACATGGAAAACAATTGATCACAGTCCTCTTATAACAGCCCTTAACATATTTGAAGACTTATCAAGTCCCCACTCAGTCTTCTTTTCTCAAGACTAAACATGCCCAGTTCTTTCAACCTTTCCTCATAGGTCAGCTTTTCTAATCTTTCATCATTTTTGTTCTCTCCTCTGGATTCTGCCCAATTTAACCACATCCTTCCTAGAGTCTGGTGCCCAGAATTGTACAAAGTACTCCAGCTGGGGACTCATGAGTGATGAGTACAGGACAATTACCTCCCATGTCTTACATACAACACTCCTGTTAATACACTCCAGATTGCTATTAGCCTTTCCCACAGCTGCATCACATTGTTGACTCATGTTCAATTTGTGATCTACTATTCCTGCCCCAGATCCTTTTCAGCAATATTACCAGCTATCCAATTATTCCCCATGTTGTGGCTGTGCGTTGATTTTTCCTTTCTAAGCAAAGTACTTTGCATTTGTCTTTATTGAATTTCATCTTGTTGATTTGAGATCAATTCTCCAATTTATCAAGGACATTTTGAATTCTAATCCTGTCCTTCAAAGTGCTTTCAACCCTTCTCCACTTGGTGTCATCCACAAAATTTATAAGCATTCTTCCCATTCCATTATAGCACTGGACCCTTGTGCGACCCTACTAGAAATGCCCTCCCAGTTTAACAGTTAACCACTAGTATCTATGCTTTGAACATGGCTTTTCAATCAGTTGTGCACTCACCTTATAGTAATTTCATCTAGACTGCATCTCCCTAGCTTGCTTATGAGAATGGTATGTGGGACTGCATCAAAATCCTTACTAAAAATCAAGATACATCATGTCTACTGCTTCCCCTTATCCACCAACCCAGTAACACCATCAGTGAAGGAAATTAGGCTTGTTTGGCATGATTTTTGTTTGAAAAATCCATGCTGGCTATTCTTTATAACTTTATTGTCCTTTAGATGCTTACAAATTCATAGATACTAAGGTCAGAAGGGACCATTATGATCATCTAATCCGACCTCCTGCACAACGCAGGCCACAGAATCTCACCCACCCACTCCTGTGCAAAACCTCTCACCTATGTCTGAGCTATTGAAGTCCTCAAATCGTGGTTTAAAGACTTCAAGGAACAGAAAATCCTCCAGCAAGTGACCCGTGCCCCATACTATAGAAGAAGGCGTCCTCTAGATGCTTACAAATTGATTGTTTAATGATTTGTTCTTGTATCTTTTCAAGTATTGAAGTTAGGCTGACTGGTCTATAATTCTCCAGGTCCTCTGTTCCCCTTTTAAAGATAGGTACTATGTTTTCTCTTCTGCAGTCCTCTGGGTCCTCACCCATCCTCCATGAGTTCATGAAGGTAATTACTAATGGTTCCAAGCTTGCTTCAGCTAGTTCTTTAAGTATCCCAGATGAATTTCATCAGGTCCTGCTGACTTGACTACCTCTAACTTCTCTAAATATTCTTTAACCTGTTCTTTTCCAATTTTGACCTATGTCCCTTTCCCCCTGTTAATATTGTGTTGAGTATCTGGTTACCATTAACCTTTTTAGTGAAGACTGAAGCAAAATAGGCATTAAACACTTCAGCCTTTCTGATGGGATCAGTTAGTAAGTGATTTACTACCATTTTCAAATCAAGCAAGAAAAGTTACACATGTGTATGTATGTACCTGGAATTCTTCAAGATGTGTTGGCCAGACATACTCCATTTAAGGTATGTGTGATGGGTTGGATCACAGAGACCCCCTTGGGACTGTCACCTGACGTGCTGAGACTACGTCTGAGCCCGTTTTCCCTGCCAGCTTGGGACTTCAGAACCCTGCTTTGTTGAGCCAGACTCACTAGCCTGCTGCAAACGCAGACCCAGGTCTGAACTACGTCCCCAAAGCTGCAGACTTAACTGAAAACAGCTTAAGAAGTGGTCCTGTCTCCAAAACCCAGTTCCCAATGGGATCCAAACCCCAAATAAATCCATTTTACTCTATATAAAGCTTATACAGGGTAAACGCAAATTGTTGGCCCGCTGTAACACAGACAGAGAGATATGCACAGCTGTTTCCCCTCCTCCCCCGGTATTAATACATACTCTGGGTTAATTAATAAGTTAAAAAAAGTGATTTTATTAAATACAAAAAGTAGGATTTAAGTGGTTCCAAGTAATAACAGACAGAACAAAGTAAGTTACCAAGCAAAATAAAACAAAACATGCAAGTCTAAGCCCAAAATACCAAGAAACCAATTACAAATAAAATCTCACTCTCAGAGATGTTCCAATAAGCTTCTTTCACATACTAGACTCCTTCCTAGTCTGGGCCCAATCCTTTCCCCGGTACAGTTCTCGTTAGCTCCAGCAGTAACAAGGGGATTTCTCATGACTGGAACCTCCTTTGCTCTTTTATAGCTTTGGCACAAGGTGGGAGTCTTTTCTCTCTCTGGGACCCCACTCCCGCTTCTAAATGGAAAAGCACCAGGTTTAAGATGGATTTCTGTACCAGGTGACATGGTCACATGTCCTGTGAGGCCCCAAGCCTTCATTCTTCCCGGCCTGACTCACAGGAAGGCTTGCAAGTAAACAGAGCCATCTACAGTCAGTTGTCCTAGTTAATGGGAGCCATCAAGATTCCAAACCACCATTAATGGTCCACACTTTGCATAATTACAATAGGACCTCAGAGTTATATTTCATATTTCTAGTTTTAGATACAAGAATGAACACCTCAATAGATTATAAGCTTTGTAATGATACCTTACAAGAAACCTTTTACATGAAGTATATTCCAGTTACATTATATTCACACTTATTAGCATATTTTCATAAAATCAGATGGAGTGCAACATCACAGTATGCATGTGCCCAAGACTGGAGTCTTTTGGCCAGCAGTGTCCACTGTGCCCACAAATGTGCCCTAGAATTCAGTGCCCCATAATGAAGGCATAAAAGGGCAGAACAGGAGAAATGCCACCATTTCCTCTCCACAGCAAAATCCAGGTGACATGGGACTAAAAGGGATAGAGGATGAGTCATGGAATATGTAATATGGCCAATGCATCTTTAAGAACTCCAGTTACTGCAAAGGCAAGAAACTTCCTTTCTTATTCAAATGCTTGTTCTTTGGCTACTTGACTAGTTAAGGTGACTCCCAATGTAATAGAGATTGCAATTCAGATTCTTAGGACAACAGAGATTGTAACATAGCCTTTCCAAACACAGCATCTGGTCTGAAAGCTTCAATGCTAGTGCATTGCTTTGTAAATGTGTGAACAGATTCCCAGCTGTCTGCTTCGCACACGTCCACAAAAGGAAAACAATTTCAAAGATGCAGCAGAGGCTGCCTAATTTCAGGTAAAATGAGCTCTGAGAGATGAAGGAGGACCCACTTTAGCCACTTCATAACAGGATCTCACACAGATCTCCATCCAAGATCATCGCTAGATAAGTTGGTTTCCCCTTCATCTTTTCTGCTATTGAAACAAAATCTTGATGTGAAGCTAAAACATGTTGTCCTCTATGAATAAATGCTAATGCACATCTGACAGGAAATGGAGCTTAGCCTCTGTCTTAGAAGCACGTGATTTAGGGAAAATATAAGCAGATGAATCTGTTGGTTCAAATGGAAGTCTGACAACTTTTGATAGAAATTAGGCTGACGCCTATCAGACACTTTGTTCAGAAAGAACATGGCATATTATCAGGACCCCACCCTTCTTGCAGAGATAACTGCAAGTAAAACTGCCATTTTCATAGGGAGAGAGATGTAACTATATGCACATTGCCATTGGTTCGAAAGGCAGGACCATCGGTGAGGACAGAACTAAAGTTAAGATTTCACACTAAGATTCCCACACTTATGGGTGGAAACGTCTTAGCAAGACCCTTCAAACACTTTACAACAATGTGACCAGCTATTGGAGGGTGATATATGCATTTTCAAACAGCCCTAATTATGATACACTCCTTAATTACATGAGAACATGTTATTTTGCTACAGGATCCCTGCTAATTTAAAGCACAAGATGGATTACAAGAGGGCAGAAATAAGATTGCAAAGGCAACTGTAAATCTAGCATTTCCTAACATTTGAGTTCTTCACTTTGCAATCTCAAAAATGTATGTTTGACATAGCTGGGATTTTTTGTTATTTTTTGCATTTGTGTGTATTATTTGTATATGATATAGAGGAAAATTCACTTGACTTTT